CGGATCCATTTTAAAGCTCATAAATTTAATTCTACTTCAATTGAACTTCAATTCTGCTGACTTTACATCAACTTTTCATCCCATGCATACCAAACTAGAGTGATGTGGTCTATTTTGTCTTTACAATCTGTGCTTCTCCTTGTAAATACAAAGCGATCTCAATGCCGCTCTCATTCCTACACTCATCGGGCGTTAAGCAGATCCCACCTTTAGCGTGAAGACGAATAGAATAACATTCTTCAAGCACAGACGGTGGCAGCGTCTCGAATACTTGGTGGGTTTGTGCTTGAAAGATAATTCACAACGGTCACGTACCCATGCCATAGCGGACTCCTTCTAGAACTAGCTGAAAGACACGCAAAACGAAGGACCCTCATGGTGTGATGGTGAACGCGTTACACGCCGGAAAGGACAATAACGCGTTCATTCCCCACCGCGTAAACCTGCGGTCCGGAGTTTCGCAAATTTCTCAGCATCATCTTAGTTGTATTTCACGTGATACCCTGCCGCTAAAAATTATAGTAGGCAACAAATAAAAAGGTTAAGACTATTACTATTTCGTCTCTATAAGTATAACTACTCTGTATATTACAATTCTGCCTTCGTCAAGAAGCTTCGTGGAACACCATATCCATTGGCGTAGTGGCTGCTCGTGAAAGCAGTGGGAATTCAAGCAAGTTTCCGCCACCTGGGGCGAGCTATACGTTGTAGACTGATTAGTTGGCGATCTCACAATTGAGGGAGTTGTGTGGNTGTGGCTTATTAATTCGAACATTGAAAATTCAGCTTTCCAATAACCGGATCGGTACCACCATATACAAAACATTAAGTAAGTAATTCAAACCGAGTTGTATATGATTGGAAATCAGCAAAATTTTCAATGTTCGAATTAATAAGCCACATAAGTCCCTCATTTGTGAGATCCCCACTTGATCAGTTTACAACGTATAGCTCGTCTCGAGGTGGTGGAAACGAGCCTAAGGTGACATTGCACTTCCCTATGACGGAGCACTGGCGTGCCCGATTCACTTAAATCTTCTATACATAACGTATATCTGTGTACAACAGACTACATGCATACGACCTTCGATGATTTGCTGGTGTCTGTGTTGTAGGTGGAAAAATAATGGCCGATTTCATCGCTTTAGGCTTTACAATAAGATTTCGTTATTGATGTTACTATAGCCACCCATATCGTTTAGGGCTTCTCTATTGCATAACGACCCTCGATAGTACAACTTGTTCCGACAGACTTGACGACGTGTGTAGTGCAGTGGTTAGAGCTACCCTGTAATGCACACAGGACCACACGCTAGGGATTTATCAATCTCTCCATCCCTCCGGACTCGTCGGATTTGCAGCAGAGTTCTCCAGGATAAATACACCGATTTGATACATCACTAGGACATCACAAGCTATTTTATATATAGGTCAGATATGCACTTAACCATCATAAGAAATCTCAGTGAATTCGAATAGGTGGCTCATCCGTCAGGGATTGATGAGATCCGAAGGTTTTGTTCTTCCCATCCCAACACTTGATTTGTGATGATTCTAGGCTGGTTGAAATGATGTTCTGAAAGGTTAGAAAATTACATCGATTCGCCTGAGTTCATAACTAGACGCACTCCCACAGAAGTTTGAAATTCCAGCAAATCATGGCCCAGGGAAGCGCATTCGAGAACGTACAGTACTCTCGGACGGACGAAGAGCATCCGTCAGAGAGAACACAGGTACCTGTAAACATACAGCAGTTGAGTATATTTTAAGAGTCTCAAAACGTAGCAGAGTTCGTAACCCCAGTTGAATGGTACTTTCCCACGTGAATAGACTACACATTTCATACTTTGACAAAAAGAAGGTAAAGAGGTCACTAACTAAATCGAACGAATTGTTTCCAAAACTCAACCACTCCACAACTAGCAAACTCCTCCTTGTTAAAGACTGGTGGTTACTGACATCTTTAGGCAACATTGAGGAATTTTTGACTAATCACACTAAAATGCGCCACAGCTGAAATGTTTAGCAATTCGAAACAGCACGAAAACACCACTAATTGATAAGGATATTTTGAAAGCAATTAAACAACCCTTCCCTTACTTACTTTCGTTGAGGTTACGTTTTTACGCAATACTGCCAAATCATCTTTTAAATACCGTAACTCCCCCGGATAGCTCTAGTGTTGGACGAGGTAGTTCTCGCCATCTGTCCCTCTCTTTTAACGAAGTCTGTTTGGTACCAGTTCAGAGTTACCACAAAACTCCGGATCGTAGAGTTGTTTGCTTATATCTGTCAAATGGGTACCGTTCGGCATGTCTATGTTGGCGTTCCAAGTAGAAAGTAAACTCGCACCCGCTCACCAGAACACTGATGATATACAAATTGTTATGGGATTCACACGACTCTACTTGAAAGCGGGTCACTTGGATGTTAGTTACGTGAGTTTCTATCGTGTTTTTGGTTTTCCTCCTGTTGTTCTCATTGACGTAAAAACAAAACGATTTAGTGATGTGTGAACCGGAAGTTCCTATCAAGCAGCAAGCGCCCATTGTGATACAAGCTTCTTCCATTTCAGAGTAGATGCTTGTTTCCCAGTGTTGACTGATTCGTGTTAACGTATTCTTTCGAGGATTTCTGATGTTACAGATCACGATTTGGCTTCAGTAGTGCTTCTATAAGTCACATTTGACGTACGAGAAGTGCTGTTGGTGCCTCAGGGGGACGTCCGACCGTCGGAGAAAAGTGTTTGCAAACGTGGGAATTCGACAACTTCGACATTCGTCTTTTCACATTTCGAAGAAAGACCTGTTCAGCATTCGGATTCTGAGTGGCGAACACCGTGGTTAAATGCAGCGATGACGTTCAGCTGAAATGTCCACAAATTTGAACGTTCACTTCTACTAGTGAGTTTGGATTTATTCGGTTTCGGTTGTTGAAGTGTCAATACGCTCAATCCTAACATGGATTTTCGAATATATTCGTCTTTCCATCCTAATAATGCTGTGTGTTTTAGGTTACTGTGCGAGATCGGCCGATGCGTTGACTGGTTAGTCGGACAAGGTCGCTGGACCCTTGTTTCTGTCAAGAGTACGGATCCCTCAAATGAAAGTTTTCGTGAGATGGGAGACAGTATCGTTAATTGTGTGGTTGTTTTGGTGAGACCTGGTGAGGTTCGTTACCTGTAACCTTGTTTTTCGTTTTATTAACCTAACCTTTGTATGAATGTTTAGGAAATCCTCGTAATGGTGGACTCTATGCTTACGTTGGCCAGAAGCTCTTAAGATGTCTGCTGTCGAGAGATGGCCGTGTGGATTAACCTCAACGTCACTATCTATTCCATACGGTATTCTATGTCATTCATGTAGTTTTGCCGGATGGATTGAGTTCTGGAAAGCACAGGTACTCTGGTGAGTTGTTGTTTGTTGAACTATTGTGATTCCCTTCACCATTATGGGGCTCTTTATCTCTCAATGTTGTTAACTCGGCTTCCTTAAGATCAGGAGTACTTGAAAACCATCCTGTCTCTTTGGAACCATTTATAGCTTGACCTTGTGCATCATGTTTTATCCTTTGTTGATAACTCACTTTCAGTGGCTCTGTTGATGTCTCACATTATCGTGGTATTCAAAGAGACTTCACTATTCACTTGTCTTCCTCTTCCGTTCTTCCTTTGCAGTTTTCTCTTTCCGTTGTTTACATTTGTTTCACGTTGCTCCCGTGTTTTATTCTGAATTCCTTACGCTTGATGTTAATTTCGACTTTTTCTCACCAGCCGTTCATACGCACTTTCATTAGCCTTCTGACCATAGTTTCATGTAGATCTGATTTCTTAGACTTCGTTATCCATTCGTTTCCCTTCAGACCGGTTTAAACTCGACGATCAAGTGCAACACAAACACGACTTCGCACGGCACTTGCCTAGAACTCAGAAGGCAAATGTTCTCGGACACAGCATAGATAGCATGCATACAAGTTGCTTAGGTATTCGCTTGAGATTCATGCTTCATTCTAATTCTTCGTGGTAGGTTGAACATAAAGTTGGAGCGTTTCCTCTAACTTTGCCGACTTTCTATGGAACTTTCGATTGAGCTTTGTATGCTTCGATTTTGCCATCCATTTTTACTCTAACAAGGCATACTTGGATGGCCCGTCCTCACCAGTTGTGCGGGCCCCAACATAATCTCCATTTTTTCGGAGTTTCGCTGTTTAACTGTTGTAGTTCGTTGGAGTCCATAGGTCAGCCTAGCCAAATTCTACCCCAGATCGTCACCACCACAGGTATTCGCCGCCCTTGTTTATCAGAGGGAGATCTACCATCATGCGACTAGTTTGATCCCAGGACGATGGTGGATCTTTGTACTCTTAGCTGGACTTCCTAATGGAAACGCCTGACTCCTTCTCAGCTTGGGAGAACATGCTGGGCGAATGAATACCTCCGCTGTACATCGCAGCGCGACACCCAGGAACACCTCTCATCCAAGATGACGCAGGAAACTGTTGGGAAGCATGACTAACAAGACATAACTAAATACAAACTTGCAGTCGCTTAAGAAGGTCCTGTTGCAAAAAGCATTATAGCTGTTTAGTTCAGCTTGATGAGCGTTGGAAACCATCATGTACTAAATTCCAATTGCATTTGTAATAAATATCTAATTAAATGGCCAGTCCTGCGGGTCACAGTATTTCTCGGGTCTTGTCGCCACCAAGATTGTTGAGATCCACAAATGGTAATCTAGTTCTTAGTCATATGCTGTTTATGATAACATCTAATAGAGCTCTTCAGAAAAGAATGCAACCACAGAATGCCTGGGAGATGTAAACGGCGAAAAATTCGATGTAGTGGAAACGTGCTCCGTTAATTTGCAATGTTCCTGTCGCCGTTAGAATATCAGCGATTCTACCTTTTCCGCGCTTCCATTCCGGTTTGTCGGACTTTGAAGGCTACTTCCATATATGAAGGACGACTTCAACGTGAAGAACGTAATGTGGCTATTTCCCATTGTTGAGAAAATGGATGAATCTTCAAATGGCGTGCGCCTTGAACGAGTCCTCGCAATTCGTTTTTATCTACACGGTGATTAATTCCCGACTCCATTTTTGTGCTTCCTTTCGATGTATTGGTTCATATGCGACGCCATCTTCCTCGATAACACCAGCAGTTGTTCGTTGTCCGCATGTAAACCACTGAATAAGGAAGTGAGATATTGATTCAAGTTTGGCTTTGTTCGGTAGCGCTGGCTTGTAATCTCTTTTGAAAATAGGTCGCAGACAGAGTACGAGTCATCAAATTTTAGACTTTGGATACAAATGGCTGACTTACGAAAATGGTGTCGTTTTGGTTGGATTGCTTGCCTGCAAAGGTGGAGAAATGGCTGGTTTCGTGGAATCTTAGTGGTGACTCGGTACGCTTTTGTCCAACGCAGCTGTAGGACTGTCGAATGGTGAAGTGCACTGCAGTTTAGGTCTCCAATGATCTGATTACATCAGCAGCAAAACTCCTTAATATGAACGTCTTTCGAAATAACATTCACTTATCGCACGATGAGTTGAGTAAGGTGAGAAGTTTTTCTCAAATGAACAAAATCGCTATTTATGAGCTGCTTTCAATTCATGAAGTTTTTTTAGGTAACTGATTTCGACAACTCACTGATTGTGTGCAAGGAGCTGTTTTGCTTCTATTTTGGAAGAGTGGAGGAGTGGTACCCTAAAGAATTTGGTTTGTTTTTGAATTTGAAGAAAAGAATTTGTTTCACAAAATTGTCGAACAGTTTCCCTTCATTACTTTCACTAGTTCATAACGATTATTTCCCGCTTTTTCTACCGTACTAATTGGTCAAGGCTAACCTATAGTTGATGCCAGCTAACCATATTTCTTTAGGGTTCCACATGAAGGGATGTCTACCACATGGCCATGTTGCGTTGGCTGAATACGGGTGTGAACATGCTTTTGTGATTCGGGATGGTGCCACTGTTGGTGAGAAGCCCTCACAGTTCATCACATGGACTTCCTGAAGAGAATTTGCTACTGTTGTCTTGGTCATTAGGTGAAAAGTTAAAGTCGTATAGGTATTTGTATCGTACAGGCCAGAAAATATGCAACAACTTATTGTTGACGTGTTCCTAACTGATTCTTCTTATTGAAGCTTTTTTACTAGTACTTGTTATTTGATGACTGATGGTGACAGCTGCTGTTCTAACCGTTCAATTTATTCGTCAACACTAGATACTTCATTGTGTATCCTCGAATCCTACGTACTAGTTGGTGTGCGGTTATTTCTTTATTTAGCATTGGTATGATGCTACGTTCTTGTTATTTCCATAGAATTAGTCACTTATAGTTGAGTTTAGGGATGTTTGAGTGAAACAAAAAGGAGGGTCTTGGACATCTTATCGTTTCTGTGTTTAACTGTGAGTTAGACAGTGCAAATCCAACGCGAAACATGTTGTATTTAGTGGACGATTTATCCATAACGTAGTATTCAATGAAATAGAATATTAGGCTTCGCGTTCGAACGTCGATGTCAAGGTTGACTCTTCATCCTCATTAGAGACTGTTCGACGCTTAGTGGCGGTGAGAGGGTATGATTCATTTCGAGCTGCTGTAGAGAAATCAGACGATCGTCAATGAGCTAGTGTAGTGCTCGCAAATAAGACGTTTCTGGAAAGGATTCCTTCATAGACGTTGAAATCATCGCCATAGTGAACGAATCTCTAGCATGACAGTACCTGCCAGCGTATTGGAAAGATTAAAGAATTTGCGACGTAGAAACGTCATTGTGAAATTCTTAAGTAGTTTCCATCACCATCCGTGTCTTTTCGGAATCTTTTAAGTCCGAGTTTTGGATTCTGGTGAGAAATTAGTTTGCTTAAAAAGACACCACTTTCTTGATATGAAACCACGAAATTGGTAGACTATTGTGGAGAAATCATTTTAAGTGATATCGATTACGCAGCTGATTAAAACATTTGAATACCATGTAGGCAAAAATGAAGTCGTTATTTAAAAAGTGTAGATATTCTAGTGACTTGGAAAACTTTACCTGGTCTGCTAATATGATAGAGACGGTAGATGATCCACAAAAAGTCGATCGCAAACAAGAACAGTAAGACTAGAAAATCTCGACCAGTAATTGTAACATAACCACAATGCAAGGGGCGCGTACTGCGCAGCGGTTGGGGGCGCCCTGCGTTAGACATGGGATCGGTCCCCACGTCACCGGCTCACCAATCCTTCCATCACTCTGTAGTCCGCAGATTGGTAGCATATTTGTCTAGTAGGACACCAGCACTGGCCCGATACATCGATAGGCCACTGCGAGTCATTTTAAAGGGAAGATATGCATTTAGTTACCTCCAACTTTCCTCAAAGAAGTCGAATGCATAGCACATCGCTCAGAGATTGATCCACGCCGAAAACCTTATCCTTCAAAAGCTTTGGAGCTTTTAATTACAATGGTGCTAAGATATTTGGAAAACTTAGACTTCAGGCCAGATTCGAATGCATGATTACCATTTCCGGGTGCTCACTTGTTACCCATTGCACCGACTAAAGACTTCGTTCCGCCTTTTCCTCAGCCAGTATTCTACCTAACGATCCCATTAGCAATCACCCGTCAACGGGAATGATCCCGGAAGCACAAATCAGCATTAAACTCTATTAATCTGAGACTGTAGTGAACTATCAATGTTAGTTACAAGTCGAAATACATTGTAATTCCGACTACAGCCCAAATTAACTGGTTTCAGTGCTGATTTGTGGTCCCCAAATCATTCCCGTCGACGGGTGATTGCTGATGGCAGCGTCAGGTAGAATATCGAATACATAAGCGAAATTAACAAAGAAGACTTGTAATGCAAAATAGTAAAAAAAATTAAGCATCGTTGGAGGTGAGTGAATGCAAATCTGGCCTGCACAACGACTCGCGGTGGCTCAAAGGTGTGTGTGTGTGTGTGTGTGTGGGTGTGAGTGTGTGTGTGTATGCGTGTGTGTGTGTTTGTGCACTATAGGTAAAGATTTTCATTTTAGATCTTTGCAAATCAGGCAGCCGAGAATGGCCAAAGGTATTTAGCAGCCTTTATGTATTTCGTCCTACCAAGCGTAGCGAGGGCTCTTTCAGTGTCGGGGAATGAGGCCCGATTATCTTATTGTGTTCAGTGCTTGATGCATACGTATATGTTGCTGTTTTCCTGAGTAGAAGGAGAGGTTACTTGTTTTATGCGACTCCTAACCGCCTCCCATATACTTCCCTGTCACTTGATGCTTTTGCCCGAACAGAAAATCCGCATAAACGAAAACACATCCACACAAGCAGGTATGAATAAATTGTCGTAAACAAAGAAGGTCCGCCCAACGGTTCACCACTCACCGT